TTAAGTTCATTTTTATTTTCTTTTATAGGTTGTAAGTTCTACAAATGGAGAACTGAACACAGATGACCCTACTGCAGGACGTTCAAATGCACCCATCACAGCTCCTACAGAAGTGGAAGTGATGGATGAAACCAAGTATGTTTTCGTTTTGTTTGTTTTCGTAACTTTTTCTTCTTAAGCTATGCATGTTTGAAAATTATAATTACATACAATTATCTCAGGAAAATTTTTTTAGGAAATAGGTGCATGAGAAAAAAGTGGTATGCTTAATTATTTTACTGAATTTAAAATAGTGCTATTCCAGTAAATATTTTCATGATACAAAAATAGTTAAGAACTGTCACAAATTGGTATTTATAATTAATAGCATATTGTCAGCTTTTGATTTTTAGGAGTGTTGATGCATGGAAGCTATTACTGTACTATTGATGATTTTTTTTTCTGTAAACAGAGAATAGTCGTTTTAGAGAATGCTGCATGCTTTAGTATTTTTTAAATTAGTTTTTTGAAGTGTAAATTATAAAAAGCATGAAAAACAATGTGATCATTTTACGATGGGCTGTTTCTGATGATCTCTTTCTCTCTCTCTCTTTTTTTCCCCTTGTATTTTTTCCCTTTGTGTGTGTGTAGCTGCCAGAAAGTGTTGAACATGTGGTGAGTTCTCAAGTGCAGGCAGGCAGAAATAGCTCCACCGACCGTCATTCCAAAGATGTAGCACCATTTTGTGTTTGTTTTTTTTTTCTAAAAAAAAACCAAATCCATTGACATAGAAATTATAATTGGTCAAAGTTATTCGAAAGTATTTGATGTTCTTAACAATATATCTGGAAAACCAGAAATAATTGTTTGAGGAGCTCTTTTGCCTGCTACCACTTTTTTGCTTCAAGTGACATAGACTCTGACCACTTTTAACTGCATAGATGATACGCTGGCCCTGCTTGTGTTTGTGCGTTTATTTTGTAGGGCAGAACTTTTATTTGCTATTTTAAATAGAAAGATGCATTTTTGAGTTAAGTTTCATTTTTCTTATTTGTTAAGTACATGCATAGCAGATCCCTTCTTACCGAGAGTATCGCTGGAACAGTATTTCATCTACTGACCCGTTTTCATTGCCATCGAATGTGATATTGATACATTTTATGGTGAACTATCGTGAGAGAGGAATTTAAAATGTTTCATTTAAGGGCCAATAGGTGGCATGGTCATTAAAGCACTGGATCCTATGTGGGCAGCTCTATGGTTCAAGTCCCGGACCTGAAGGCCCGAAGACACACTGGGCCTTGTGTATGTGTGTTCCCAAAGTCCCAAGAGGAGCATGGAGGAGGAGGGACTGCAGTGTCACCACCCGCCTTGGGGGATGACTTCTCACTTTCCAGTTCTCTCTGTCTCTCTCTCCAGTGAGCACATGGACTCTGTGGCAAAAAAAAAAAAAAAAAATCTAAAAAAAAAAGAAAACAAAAAATAAATAGTAAATTTTAAAAATCTTTTAAAAAATTCCTGATAATTCTAGCTATTAAGAAAAATAATATTCATATTAGAAAATTAATATTGGATTTAAATTATTTTCTAAGAATTGCCTTTTTGTGATACTATGTTTAAAACACCCTTCTCCATTTCAGGATAAATTTTGAGTCAGCCTTGGCATGAATAAAGAAAATTGCTTAGATTAGTCAATTTTGAAACATTTTGCTTATATTCCAGGAACTTTATATCATTTCCAAAATAATGTTCATATTCTATCTGGAAAATGAGAAAACTTGTATGGCTATTTCTTCTTAAAAGCAGTGATCAAGTATTCATTTTAATCAGTTTTGCCTGTAGAATTTACTCATAATGTGGCTAGACAGTGGTTTGTGCGTGTTTGTGGCTTTGGGCTGGAAGTCTAAGCACGGTTAGGAACGTAGGGTGGCCGTGTGGTCCGTCAGCATGTGCATGTCCTTTGCAGTTCACCACAGGTTATAGGACCCTGTTTCTGCCACGATGTGTTACCTTCTTCAAGCTTGTTTCTTTTTCTGTAAAACAAGGCTAATAATACCTGCCTCGAGGTGGCGGGGAACAGTCAGTGTGGGGAAGCTCTGCTGCCCTGTCTGGCACATGGCAGGTACTTCGTAGCTGTCATCGCCTCTGTTTCTCCACTTCCAGCTGCTGGAAGTTCTTTTTTCTTCTTTGTTCTTCCCAGCTCGTGCTTCCTCTCTTGGTGGCCCGTATTTTTCGTTGTTTAATGTACACTCTTCCCGGAAACTGGTTGTTCTGTAGTCACAGATGCGTAAAGACCTGCTTTGCATCAAATCTGTTACGTCTGTTCACTCGACAATTCACTGCTGAGAGTTCAGAAACACAGAGACGGCCTTTGCTCTTACAGATTACAAGCCGCCAGGGAAGATGGCATTCGTCAGCATGCGATTCATACTATGAAAAAGATAGGAAAACCTGTTCGATTTTGTTAAGAAAAAAATTCCAGGCTTGGATGATCCGAGGATGCTCTGTGGAGAGGTTTTATAGGATGGCGTGGTCGTTCATTCCGTTAGAGTGGGTGCAGGTGCCTGTGTGGGTGGGCTCGGGTCTCTCACTGGAGAACAGGGAAGGGAATGGTGGGAAGGCTCTTCCTGAAACAGAGCTGCGCCGTGGTTTGGGGCGTTCTGTCCAGGTGCTTGGTGTGCACTGAGGCTCTGCCTACCTCTCGAAGGCTGTCCTGAAACAGAGTTGTGCCGTGGTTTGGGGCGTTCTGTCCAGGTGCTTGGTGTGCACTGAGGCTCTGCCTACCTCTCGTAGGCTGGCCCTGCTTGTCTTCCTCAGCCCCCTTTTTCATTCTGGTCCTTATATTCCGTCGGTCCCGTAAGCCCGCCTTTGGTATGTCATTTTCTTTCTGTATCTCCTTCTTGAAACTTCTTGAACTTCTTGAAAACAATATGCCTTAATCAATTATTACCAAATAAATAATGTGGTATGCCCATATAACTGATTATCATTTGGCAATAAAGATAGGAAATTGAAAACACTTTGTTACGTGAAAGAAGCCAGGTATAAAAGGCCACATGTGATTGCTTTTAAATGAAATATTCTAAACGGTTAAATAAAAGGGACCTATAGGACCCTATTTCAAGCTTGTTTCTTTTTCTGTAAAACAAGGCTAATAATACCTACCGCTATAGAAAAGTCTGTAGGAATAAAGGGATTAAATTACTAGTTTATTTGGGTGTAGACATTTTTTAAAATCCATGTGTAGTGTGTTTTTAGTATGCATTTTCTTTTTCATTTACTTATTTATTTGAATGTATCATAGGGTGCCTGCACTTGCTTGAGAGAGACATAGAGATAGAAAGCGAGAAATCACCCCCCAGGGGGATGGTCACGTCACAATCCCTTCTCCTCCATTCTCCTCTCAGAATTTTGGGCACACATGCCTAGTGTGATTTTCAAACGTCTGGGTCCAGGACTTGAACTGTGCAGTTGGCCGTGTGGGATCCAGCCATCTTAACCATCGCACCACCTGGTTGGCCCCACATTATGCATTTTCTATGCATGTGTAGAAGACCCCTGGTGTTTAGCACAGAAAGCAGATTACTGATTGCCTGGGGCAGATTAGAGGAGCATGGACCAAGCTGCTAATAACAGATGACAGCGTCCCTTCATGGGTGATGAAGACATGACACTGGAGTGGTGACAGCCACCCAGTGCTTCAACATACCAGGAACCACTGAATTGTACACTCACAAAGCTGCATTTTATGATATGAACTTTATCTTACTAAAGCAGAGATTTTTGTTATAGGCTGTGCGTGCTCACCAGAGAGACAGAAAGCAAGATATCAACCCCCCCTCCCCCAGGGCAGATGGCCACACTGCAATTCCTCCTCCTCCATTCTCCTCTCAGGATTTTGGGCATGCATACATACACTCCCGGTGTGAGTTTCAAGCCGCCAGGTCCAAGACTTGAACCATGACTAGTCACGTGGAAGTCCAGCGATATAACCATTACACCACCTGCTGGTCCCTGTAAAGCAGCTATTTTTAAAAAGCTTAAGAACCCATGGTTTCAGTGAAACTCTTCATGTGGGTCACAGAAACCCTCAGAACTTCTCTACTTCTTCATCAGTTAAAAACTCTCTTTAAACACGTAAGGTTTTGTCTTTCTCTTGTCCGGTTTATCCTCACATTTCTATAAATTCATTATTATGTTCCTGATGTCCTCCTGGTCTCTTGACTAGATATACAAACGTGGTTTCCCTGTCCACGTTGTATCTTCTGATTCTGTTCTCTGCCACCATTTTATAGTTCGTGAGGACCGTGCTTAGAATTCCTTTCCAGAATTTCTTTCCATCTTTCTCATTACCTGTGATCAGCAGAGAGCTCTCTCCCTGCGTCCCATCAGTTAGAATGTGTTCCGTGGTGGACATTTTAGCATCTTGACCGTTCCAAGAACTGTAGCTCATGGGGTAAATATTTCCAGGTGACGTGAGCATATTTGATTCTCCCACGTATAAAGTTGTCGCTGGGTTGGTAATAAGAGTGTACCTTGCTGGTTTCCTGTAGCTGGGGATTTTAGAACAGGTGGTACAGGTCATAGCACCTCGTCATTCCCACGAGGAATTCAGGAGGACACGGCTTTCCTGAGTCATTTTCTTCTCAAGTAATACAGGACTGCCTCTCTCGCTCTACTTTTTTCTTCCTCTTCCGCTTTCAGTACTTACCGAACGGATGGATGGTGGTGTTTGGGCAGTGTGATGGTCCCGAGGGTACGTGAGGATGTGTCCGTCAGTAGGGAGACAGGGAGTCCAGCATGACTGTTAGACGTGGTTCAACCCTGGCTTGCCATTACAGATACCCGGGGGCTTTCAGATACTGCTAGTATTTTATAAGGACTTTCAGAGTTTCTGACATCACTAGTTGTCTGTAGTGGGGCCTGTTCATCAGTAGTTTTAAAAAAGAGCTTCGAAGGTGAGATCTAAGAAGCAAGTAAGGGTCGAGAATGCTGGTCTACGAACAGTAATACTGGGTTAGCACCGTACGAAAGGGATAAGATGCTAGCAGACTAGAAAATGCATTATGTGCTTCCAGCCGGGAAGATCGGAGACATCTTTAAGGGTAAGGCGGCGTTTGCACTAGTTCTCGGGTACAAGTATGATTGTGCAAGGGCAGTGGGTGGAAGGAGTCAGAGAGACGAGGCCGTGCGCTGATGGGGGCAAGGGGGGACGGAGTGTTTGGGGAGGAACTCAGCGGGTATGGCCGTGCGGACGTGCTCCTGGGAACCGAGATCGCTGTGCCCCAAGCCCAGAGGCACTCCGCGGCCAGGTGAAGAAGCTCGGGCAGTATCTCTCATCACAAGAAAGCAAGCTGCGGTTTTAAGCCAAGAACAGTACGATCAGATTGTGCCTTCGGAAGATTGATTTGGCAACCGTGAGGAGGCTCTGCCACTTTCTAGAGTTTACCAGATTGCAGAAAATGGCTCAGAAATATAAACTGAGTTTGCTTTCCTATGAAACTAGATGGAGAATGATTTATTTATTTATTTATTTATTTATTTATGTTGGTTCATAGCCTTTAGTGGTTAAACTGGTATCTTTTTATAAAAATGATTGTAAGATGACAGTCTCGGGCTGTTCACTTAGTTTCTACTATCCGTTCAAGATTTAGTCTCTAGAATTATAGAGATGA